CCTCCTATGGTAAACCCTAGCTGTGTATGACCTCCTATGGTAAACCCTAGCTGTGTATGACCTCCTATGGTAAACCCTAGCTGTGTATGACCTCCTATGGTAAACCCTAGCTGTGTATGACCTCCTATGGTAAACCCTAGCTGTGTATGACCTCCTATGGTAAACCCTAGCTGTGTATGACCTCCTGTGGTAAACCCTAGCTATGTATGACCTCCTATGGTAAACCCTGGCTGTGTATGACCTCCTATGGTAAACCCTGGCTATGACCTCCTATGGTAAACCCTGGCTGTGTATGACCTCCTATGGTAAACCCTAGCTGTGTATGACCTCCTATGGTAAACCCTAGCTGTGTATGACCTCCTATGGTAAACCCTAGCTGTGTATGGCCTCCTATGGTAAACCCTGGCTGTGTATGACCTCCTATGGTAAACCCTGGCTATGACCTCCTATGGTAAACCCTGGCTGTGTATGACCTCCTATGGTAAACCCTAGCTGTGTATGACCTCCTATGGTAAACCCTAGCTGTGTATGACCTCCTATGGTAAACCCTAGCTGTGTATGACCTCCTATGGTAAACCCTGGCTGTGTATGACCTCCTATGGTAAACCCTAGCTGTGTATGACCTCCTATGGTAAACCCTGGCTGTGTATGACCTCCTATGGTAAACCCTGGCTGTGTATGACCTCCTATGGTAAACCCTGGCTATGACCTCCTATGGTAAACCCTGGCTATGACCTCCTATGGTAAACCCTAGCTGTGTATGACCTCCTATGGTAAACCCTGGCTCAGTGGTTCTTAACCTTTTTGGGGGTACTGAAATATACCAGCTTCCTATGTGCATTTACTGAACTATTTTTAATTGGAAAACCAAATATGATTTTTTTTATTTCAAAAGATAGGTAAATATTTTACTGGTGAACATACTGACCGTGCATCAACATCACTGTATTCAAAAAACAAAACCATTCAAATATAATTTTTATACAAAATTAAAATCATAATATTTAGGCTACTACAAATAAGCGTGACTTCTTCAGAAAGTTCACCTTGAATCCTATCAAGTTCTGTCACTTCTGTGAATCCATATTGTACTTATTTGTCCAACCACTTTCTTTTTACTTAACATAGTTAGTATAAGGTATTCAAATATTAAGAAAGAAATCACACGACGTATCATCACCATAGTCATAAAGCAGTAGTGATCTCCCTTAAACTTTCTTGAATATTTTTATATAATACTACAGGGATGGCAAGTCGGGATATAGACATGATTTTTATTCAATTTTTCAATATTTAAAAAAATAGAATAGAATCTCTGAGGAAAACAACATTGCACACCAAGTGAACAGCAAACAATGTGTGCACAATAGTGCGGAATACTAGTAGTTCATAAATTCATATGCATTTTTTGAGAAATCAGAAATAGCGTAAAGTACTACTTTCAGTAAACGGAAATTACTTAAAGTTGGAGACAAGGCAGAAAATTAGATCTTTTACTTACATGTGAAATTTCGTCTATCTGTCTAAACAGTACTCAAGTTATAAGCTTTTTAAAAACCAAAAGTAGAATAAGTTCCTCTTCTAGTTAATCGAATTACTACAAAATAAGGAAGTAAAAATAAAACTTTAAGTATATACATTTTTAAACTTCTGCATATGTCTGCTAAATTAAACAGGACATTAAGGGAAACTATTTTCATGGTTTTGGCCTCGGAGAAGAAGAACTACTGGGGCTCACTCAAGTAGAACTATTGGGGATCACTCAAGTATAACTATTGGGGATCACTCAAGTAGAACTATTGGGGATCACTCAAGTAGAACTACTGGGGATCACTCAAGTAGAACTACTGGAGATCACTCAAGTAGAACTATTGGGGATCACTCAAGTAGAACTATTGGGGATCACTCAAGTAGAACTACTGGGGATCACTCAAGTAGAACTATTGGGGATCACTCAAGTAGAACTATTGGAGATCACTCAAGTAGAACTATTGGGGATCACTCAAGAACATTGACTGTAACATGAGAATCCTAACAAATTCTACTTGCTTGCTGTTCACTGATACATTTACGTCATTAACACTTGATGGGCAGGAGACAGAGACACTTCTAATTTAGTTGGGGCCATTGGAGAAATGGAACATTTTATCACAAGCAGCAACACAATTTGCGAGTGAGTAAACAAACAACATAAGTTTGAGATCATATGAGCATGTGAAACATTTGTACTTTGACAAAAGAGCCTATTTAAAACCAGTTATATGGCATTGACAATATTGTTTTATGGCCAATGCACAGAGTAGCAGCCTAAACCATGCTGCCGTGCATGTTATGGCCCATTCATTTTATTTTAAAGATTACAAAGAAGATTTTCACATCAAACATAAAGAAAACTGATACAACTGTCAAACACAAGTCATTCTCTGAAAAATGGGAGAAAATTGTCCAAGCAATCATTTATGTGTGTAATTGAAGAATGCACTGCAGTGCCAACAAAACTCTAAACTCATAGCTGGACAGTGGCAACAAAACTCTAAACTCATAGCTGGACAGTGGCAACAAAACTCTAAACTCATAGCTGGACAGTGGCAACAAAACTCTAAACTCATAGCTGGACAGTGCCAACAAAAACCTAAACTCATAGCTGGACAGTGCCAACAAAACCCTAAACTCATAGCTGGACAGTGCCAACAAAACTCTAAACTCATAGCTGGACAGTGCCAACAAAACTCTAAACTCATAGCTGGACAGTGCCAACAAAACTCTAAACTCATAGCTGGACAGTGCCAACAAAACTCTAAACTCATAGCTGGACAGTGCCAACAAAACTCTAAACTCATAGCTGGACAGTGCCAACAAAACTCTAAACTCATAGCTGGACAGTGCCAACAAAACTCTAAACTCATAGCTGGACAGTGCCAACAAAACTCTAAACTCATAGCTGGACAGTGCCAACAAAACTCTAAACTCATAGCTGGACAGTGCCAACAAAACTCTAAACTCATAGCTGGACAGTGCCAACAAAACTCTAAACTCATAGCTGGACAGTGCCAACAAAACTCTAAACTCATAGCTGGACAGTGCCAACAAAACTCTAAACTCATAGCTGGACAGTGCCAACAAAACAAACTCTAAACTCATAGCTGGACAGTGCCAACAAAACAAACTCTAAACTCATAGCTGGACAGTGCCAACAAAACAAACTCTAAACTCATAGCTGGACAGTGCCAATAAAACAAACTCTAAACTCATAGCTGGACAGTGCCAACAAAACAAACTCTAAACTCATAGCTGGACAGTGCCAACAAAACAAACTCTAAACTCATAGCTGGACAGTGCCAACAAAACTCTAAACTCATAGCTGGACAGTGGCAACAAAACTCTAAACTCATAGCTGGACAGTGCCAACAAAACTCTAAACTCATAGCTGGACAGTGCCAACAAAACTCTAAACTCATAGCTGGACAGTGCCAACAAAACTCTAAACTCATAGCTGGACAGTGCCAACAAAACTCTAAACTCATAGCTGGACAGTGCCAACAAAACTCTAAACTCATAGCTGGACAGTGCCAACAAAACTCTAAACTCATAGCTGGACAGTGCCAACAAAACTCTAAACTCATAGCTGGACAGTGCCAACAAAACAAACTCTAAACTCATAGCTGGACAGTGCCAACAAAACTCTAAACTCATAGCTGGACAGTGCCAACAAAACTCTAAACTCATAGCTGGACAGTGCCAACAAAACAAACTCTAAACTCATAGCTGGACAGTGCCAACAAAACAAACTCTAAACTCATAGCTGGACAGTGCCAACAAAACAAACTCTAAACTCATAGCTGGACAGTGCCAACAAAACAAACTCTAAACTCATAGCTGGACAGTGCCAACAAAACAAACTCTAAACTCATAGCTGGACAGTGCCAACAAAACCCTAAACTCATAGCTGGACAGTGCCAACAAAACCCTAAACTCATAGCTGGACAGTGCCAACAAAACTCTAAACTCATAGCTGGACAGTGCCAACAAAACAAACTCTAAACTCATAGCTGGACAGTGCCAACAAAACAAACTCTAAACTCATAGCTGGACAGTGCCAACAAAACAAACTCTAAACTCATAGCTGGACAGTGCCAACAAAACAAACTCTAAACTCATCACACATCACAACCAGGACACTCATAGCATAATATATCAGTGGTATTGTAATACTATCACAACCAGGACACTCATAGCATAATATATCAGTGGTATTGTAATACTATCACAACCAGGACAGCATAATATATCAGTGGTATTGTAATACTATCACAACCAGGACACTCATAGCATAATATATCAGTGGTATTGTAATACTATCACAACAGATTCATGGGGACCATGCGAGACACCACGTCAGCGCACGCCGTTACTCCCCCTGCTGTCTAGGCATATAGCTACCACCCCCACCAGTCTGGTGAGCTGTGGATAACACTAAATGTTTACAATTGTAGACCTGGGACGAATTAGTGATGACTATTAGGGGCAGATAATTTAGTTTTTTTAACTATATGAAACTAAGGGGAGGTAATAACAAGTTCTGCTTGATCTTTTTATTGTCGTCTGTAAACTGCTGTCACAGACGGCTGCTTTCAAGGGGGGGGGGAGTAGAAAGTGAGTGTTTTAAAGGTAAATATTTTCAGTAGCAGCATTGGTAGTGTCGAATTCATAAATTATGAATTACTGAAAAATAGAAAGTAAAACAACTGAATAGTGGCGTATGATACGTCGCGGGTCAGCTCGTATGACGTATAAGGGATCTTGATGTGATACTTTTGCAATAGGCACATGAAGAAATGCATATCTACAATTTAAATTGGTTTACTATATAACGAAATAAATATATATGAATGGAATCCACCCACGATGTACCCCAAACCCTGTAAATCACAACGTATGGTGAAGGTTAAGAACCACTGCCCTAGCTGTGTATTTCTCTGAATAAATTAAAAGTTACTTACTTATTTAACTTTTTAAAATCAGGAACAGATTTTGGGTCAATGAACTTGATGCCGTAGTACAAATGATAGAGCTTTTCAACGTTCCCTGGGAAAAGAGAGTGGTCTTTTTTTCTTTCATCATGAATTAGTGGCACAACTAAAGCTAGTTAGTGGCACAACTAAAGCTAGTTGGTGGCACAACTAAAGCTAGTTGGTGGCACAACTAAAGCTAGTTAGTGGCACTAAAGCTAGTTAGTGGCACAACTAAAGCTAGTTAGTGGCACAACTAAAGTTAGTTAGTGGCACAACTAAAGCTAGTTGGTGGCACTAAAGCTAGTTGGTGGTACAACTAAAGCTAGTTAATGGCACTAAAGCTAGTTAGTGGCACAACTTAAGCTAGTTGGTGGCACAACTAAAGCTAGTTAATGGCACAACTAAAGTTAGTTAGTGGCACAACTAAAGCTAGTTGGTGGCACTAAAGCTAGTTAGTGGCACAACTAAAGCTAGTTAGTGGCACAACTAAAGCTAGTTAATGGCACAACTAAAGTTAGTTAGTGGCACAACTAAAGCTAGTTGGTGGCACTAAAGCTAGTTGGTGGCACTAAAGCTAGTTAGTGGCACAACTAAAGCTAGTTAGTGGCACTAAAGCTAGTTAGTGGCACAAATAAAGCTAGTTAGTGGCACAACTAAAGTTAGTTAGTGGCACAACTAAAGCTAGTTAGTGGCACTAAAGCTAGTTAGTGGCACAACTAAAGCTAGTTAGTGGCACAACTAAAGCTAGTTAGTGGCACAACTAAAGCTAGTTGGTGGCACTAAAGCTAGTTGGTGGTACAACTAAAGCTAGTTAATGGCACTAAAGCTAGTTAGTGGCACAACGTAAGCTAGTTAGTGGCACAACTTAAGCTAGTTGGTGGCACAACTAAAGCTAGTTAATGGCACAACTAAAGTTAGTTAGTGGCACAACTAAAGCTAGTTGGTGGCACTAAAGCTAGTTGGTGGCACTAAAGCTAGTTAGTGGCACAACTAAAACTAGTTAGTGGCACTAAAGCTAGTTAGTGGCACAACTAAAGCTAGTTAATGGCACAACTAAAGTTAGTTAGTGGCACAACTAAAGCTAGTTAATGGCACAACTAAAGTTAGTTAGTGGCACAACTAAAGCTAGTTGGTGGCACTAAAGCTAGTTGGTGGCACTAAAGCTAGTTAGTGGCACAACTAAAGCTAGTTAGTGGCACAACTAAAGCTAGTTAGTGAAACAACTAAAGTTAGTTAGTGGCACAACTAAAGCTAGTTAGTGGCACAACTAAAGCTAGTTAGTGGCACAACTAAAGCTAGTTAGTGGCACTAAAGCTAGTTAATGGCACAACTAAAGCTAGTTGGTGGCACAACTAAAGCTAGTTAGTGGCACAACTAAAGCTAGTTAGTGGCACAACTAAAGCTGGTTAGTGGCACTAAAGCTAGTTTGTGGCACAGCTAAAGCTAGTTAGTGGCACAACTAAAGCTAGTTAGTGGCACAGCTAAAGCTAGTTAGTGGCACAATTAAAGCTAGTTAGTGGCACTAAAGCTAGTTAGTGGCACAACTAAAGCTAGTTAGTGGCACTAAAGCTAGTTAGTGGCACAACTAAAGCTAGTTAGTGGCACAACTAAAGCTAGTTAGTGGCACTAAAGCTAGTTAGTGGCACAACTAAAGCTAGTTAGTGGCACTAAAGCTAGTTAGTGGCACAACTAAAGCTAGTTAGTGGCACAACTAAAGCTAGTTAGTGGCACTAAAGCTAGTTAGTGGCACAACTAAAGCTAGTTAGTGGCACAACTAAAGCTAGTTAGTGGCACAAATTAAGCTAGTTAGTGGCACAACTAAAGCTAGTTAGTGGCACAACTAAAGCTAGTTAGTGGCACAACTAAAGCTAGTTAGTGGCACAACTAAAGCTAGTTAGTGGCACAACTAAAGCTAGTTAGTGGCACAACTAAAGCTAGTTAGTGGCACAACTAAAGCTAGCTAGTGGCACAAATTAAGCTTGAGACATTGAACCAGCATTTACTTTAGGATATTTATAAAAATTTACTGGCAACATTAAAACACTTAATTGTTCAACTCACAATCACTTTCATTAGGATATGTTTCCAGTAACTTGATGATGTCATCAATAGTTCCAGTCAAATTGATTGTTTGTGGTTTGGTCTTGTTTCGCATGTAATCCCTAAAGAAAGAAATCTTAATGTTATGTAACTAACTAATCTATATCCAATATTGTAGGGAAGAGAAACTAAAGCTTGCACAAGTATAACCATAAAACTATAGAACATCAGAAATGATATAAATACATACACATATATATATGATAAGGTTGAGCACAAACCAAACTCTTTAGAACGTGTGTGATGGATTTAAATGATCAGTAAATGATCAAGACACACACTAGCATCCAATTTTATGATCACTTCAAGTCAGCACACAACCACTTCAAGTCAGCACACAACCACTTCAAGTCAACCACTTCAAGTCAGCACACAACCACTTCAAGTCAACCACTTCAAGTCAGCACACAACCACTTCAAGTCAGCACACAACCACTTCAAGTCAGCACACAACCACTTCAAGTCAGCACACAACCACTTCAAGTCAGCACACAACCACTTCAAGTCAGCACACAACCACTTCAAGTCAGCACACAACCACTTCAAGTCAGCACACAACCACTTCAAGTCAGCACATAACCACTTCAAGTCAGCACACAACCACTTCAAGTCAGCACACAACCACTTCAAGTCAGCACACAACCACATCAAGTCAGCACATAACCACTTCAAGTCAGCACACAACCACTTCAAGTCAGCACACAACCACTTCAAGTCAGCACACAACCACTTCAAGTCAGCACACAACCACTTCAAGTCAGCACACAACCACTTCAAGTCAGCACATAACCACTTCAAGTCAGCACATAACCACTTCAAGTCAGCACACAACCACTTCAAGTCAGCACACAACCACTTCAAGTCAGCACATAACCACTTCAAGTCAGCACACAACCACTTCAAGTCAGCACACAACCACTTCAAGTCAGCACACAACCACTTCAAGTCAGCACACAACCACTTCAAGTTAGCACACAACCACTTCAAGTCAGCACACAACCACTTCAAGTCAGCACACAACCACTTCAAGTCAACCACTTCAAGTCAGCACACAACCACTTCAAGTCAACCACTTCAAGTCAGCACACAACCACTTCAAGTCAGCACACAACCACTTCAAGTCAACCACTTCAAGTCAGCACACAACCACTTCAAGTCAGCACACAACCACTTCAAGTCAACCACTTCAAGTCAGCACACAACCACTTCAAGTCAGCACATAACCACTTCAAGTCAGCACACAACCACTTCAAGTCAGCACACAACCACATCAAGTCAGCACACAACCACTTCAAGTCAGCACACAACCACTTCAAGTCAGCACACAACCACTTCAAGTCAGCACACAACCACTTCAAGTCAACCACTTCAAGTCAGCACACAACCACTTCAAGTCAGCACACAACCACTTCAAGTCAGCACACAACCACTTCAAGTCAGCACACAACCACTTCAAGTCAGCACACAACCACTTCAAGTCAGCACACAACCACTTCAAGTCAGCACACAACCACTTCAAGTCAGCACACAACCACTTCAAGTCAGCACACAACCACTTCAAGTTAACCACTTCAAGTCAACCACTTCAAGTCAACCACTTCAAGTCAACCACTTCAAGTCAGCACATAACCACTTCAAGTCAGCACACAACCACTTCAAGTCAGCACACAACCACTTCAAGTCAGCACACAACCACTTCAAGTCAACCACTTCAAGTCAGCACACAACCACTTCAAGTCAGCACACAACCACTTCAAGTCAACCACTTCAAGTCAGCACACAACCACTTCAAGTCAGCACACAACCACTTCAAGTCAGCACACAACCACTTCAAGTCAGCACACAACCACTTCAAGTCAGCACACAACCACTTCAAGTCAGCACACAACCACTTCAAGTCAGCACACAACCACTTCAAGTCAGCACACAACCACTTCAAGTCAGCACATAACCACTTCAAGTCAGCACATAACCACTTCAAGTCAGCACACAACCACTTCAAGTCAGCACACAACCACTTCAAGTCAGCACATAACCACTTCAAGTCAGCACACAACCACTTCAAGTCAGCACACAACCACTTCAAGTCAGCACACAACCACTTCAAGTCAGCACACAACCACTTCAAGTTAGCACACAATCACTTCAAGTCAGCACACAACCACTTCAAGTCAGCACACAACCACTTCAAGTCAACCACTTCAAGTCAGCACACAACCACTTCAAGTCAACCACTTCAAGTCAGCACACAACCACTTCAAGTCAGCACACAACCACTTCAAGTCAACCACTTCAAGTCAGCACACAACCACTTCAAGTCAGCACACAACCACTTCAAGTCAACCACTTCAAGTCAGCACACAACCACTTCAAGTCAGCACATAACCACTTCAAGTCAGCACACAACCACTTCAAGTCAGCACACAACCACATCAAGTCAGCACACAACCACTTCAAGTCAGCACACAACCACTTCAAGTCAGCACACAACCACTTCAAGTCAGCACACAACCACTTCAAGTCAGCACACAACCACTTCAAGTCAGCACACAACCACTTCAAGTCAGCACACAACCACTTCAAGTCAGCACACAACCACTTCAAGTCAGCACACAACCACTTCAAGTTAACCACTTCAAGTCAACCACTTCAAGTCAACCACTTCAAGTCAACCACTTCAAGTCAACCACTTCAAGTCAGCACATAACCACTTCAAGTCAGCACACAACCACTTCAAGTCAGCACACAACCACTTCAAGTCAGCACACAACCACTTCAAGTCAACCACTTCAAGTCAGCACACAACCACTTCAAGTCAGCACACAACCACTTCAAGTCAACCACTTCAAGTCAGCACACAACCACTTCAAGTCAGCACACAACCACTTCAAGTCAGCACACAACCACTTCAAGTCAGCACACAACCACTTCAAGTCAGCACACAACCACTTCAAGTCAGCACACAACCACTTCAAGTCAGCACACAACCACTTCAAGTCAACCACTTCAAGTCAGCACACAACCACTTCAAGTCAGCACACAACCACTTCAAGTCAGCACACAACCACTTCAAGTCAGCACACAACCACTTCAAGTCAACCACTTCAAGTCAGCACACAACCACTTCAAGTCAGCACACAACCACTTCAAGTCAGCACACAACCACTTCAAGTCAGCACACAACCACATCAAGTCAACCACTTCAAGTCAGCACACAACCACTTCAAGTCAGCACACAACCACTTCAAGTTAGCACACAACCACTTCAAGTCAGCACACAACCACTTCAAGTCAGCACACAACCACTTCAAGTCAGCACACAACCACTTCAAGTTAGCACACAACCACTTCAAGTCAGCACACAACCACTTCAAGTCAGCACACAACCACTTCAAGTCAGCACATAACCACTTCAAGTCAGCACATAACCACTTCAAGTCAGCACACAACCACATCAAGTCAGCACACAACCACTTCAAGTCAGCACACAACCACTTCAAGTCAGCACATAACCACTTCAAGTCAGCACACAACCACTTCAAGTCAGCACATAACCACTTCAAGTCAGCACATAACCACTTCAAGTCAGCACATAACCACTTCAAGTTAGCACACAACCACTTCAAGTCAGCACATCTAACTTACACCTAAAGGTCTAACTTATCAAGTCAACTTTTTCATCCTAAAGCTCTAACTTACCAAGTCAACTTTTTCATCCTAAAGCTCTAACTTACCAAGTCAACTTTTTCATCCTAAAGCTCTAACTTACCAAGTCAACTTTTTCATCCTAAAGCTCTAACTTACCAAGTCAACTTTTTCATCCTAAAGCTCTAACTTACCAAGGAGCAATAAAAACCTTTGACTCGGGTGGCAAGGCATCATTCCATTTCGTCAGCGTGTTGCCTGGTAGTGGGAAAACAAACATATATTTGATGATCAGTGCTAAACATTGCTGGTCATTTCTTTAATTCATGTAGAGAATCTTAAATAATAAACATTGGGGACAGACATGATGACAGACATGATGACAGACATGATGACAGACAGACATGATGACAGACATGATGACAGACATGATGACACACATGACAGACATGATGACACACATGACAGACATGACAAACATGATGACAGACATGATGACAGACATGATGACAGACATGATGACAGACATGATGACAGACATGATGACAGACATGATGACAGACATGATGACAGACATGATGACAGACATGATGACAGACATGATGACAGACATAATGACAGACATGATGACAGACATGATGACAGACATGATGACAGACATGATGACAGACAGACATAATGACAGACATGACAAACATGATGACAAACATGATGACAGACATGATGACAGACATGATGACAGACATGATGACAGACATAATGACAGACATGATGACAGACATGATGACAGACATGATGACAGACATGATGACAGACATGATGACAGACAGACATGATGACAGACATGACAAACATGATGACAGACATGATGACAGACATGATGACAGACATGATGACAGACATGATGACAGACATGATGACAGACATGATGACAGACATGATGACAGACATGATGACAGACATGATGACAGACAGACATGATGACAGACATGATGACAGACATGATGACACACATGACAGACATGACAAACATGATGACAGACATGATGACAGACATGATGACAGACATGATGACAGACATGATGACAAACATGATGACAGACATGATGATAGACATGATGACAGACAGACATGATGACAGACATGACGACAGACATGATGACAGACATGATGACAGACATGACAAACATGATGACAGACATGATGACAGACATAATGACAGACATGATGACAGACATGATGACAGACATGATGACAGACATGATGACAGACATGATGACAGACATGATGACAGACAGACATGATGACAGACATGACAAACATGATGACAAACATGATGACAGACATGATGACAGACATGATGACAGACATGATGACAGATATGATGACAGACATGATGACAGACATGATGACAGACATGATGACAGACATGATGACAGACAGACATGATGACAGACATGATGACAGACATGATGACACACATGACAGACATGACAAACATGATGACAGACATGATGACAGACATGATGACAGACATGATGACAGACATGATGACAAACATGATGACAGACATGATGATAGACATGATGACAGACAGACATGATGACAGACATGACGACAGACATGATGACAGACATGATGACAGACATGACAAACATGATGACAGACATGATGACAGACATGATGACAGACAGACATGATGACAGACATGATGACAGACATGACAGACATGATGACAGACATGATGACAAACATGATGACAGACATGATGATAGACATGATGACAGACAGACATGATGACAGACATGACGACAGACATGATGACAGACATGATGACAGACATGACAAACATGATGACAGACATGATGACAGACATGATGACAGACATGATGACAGACAGACATGATGACAGATGTGAGGACAGACATGGCAGAGAAAAATAAAAGCTATTCAAATGACACCTACCAATCATCTTGAAAGTGGTAGTAAAAGAGGGATATTTTTTCTGATATGTTGGGATCACAATTGCAATACTGAAAATAGAACCACAGAATCTAAGGTATAATAGCTTTAACATTTCATTTGGTTTAACACAGTCTCTCTTTTATATTTTGTTTTTAAACAGTCTCTCTTTTATATTTTGGTTTAACACAGTCTCTCTTTTATATTTTGGTTTAACACAGTGGTTTAACACCCCATTCTCTCTTTTATATTTTGGTTTAACACAGTCTCTCTTTTATATTTTGGTTTAACACAGTGGTTTAACACATTCTCTCTTTTATATTTTGGTTTAACACAGTCTCTCTTTTATATTTTGGTTTAACACAGTCTCTCTTTTATATTTTGGTTTAACACAGTGGTTTAACACATTCTCTCTTTTATATTTTGGTTTAACACAGTCTCTCTTTTATATTTTGGTTTAACACAGTGGTTTAACCCATTCTCTCTTTTATATTTTGGTTTAACACAGTCTCTCTTTTATATTTTGGTTTAACACAGTGGTTTAACACATTCTCTCTTTTATATTTTGGTTTAACACAGTGGTTTGACACAATGGTTTAACACATTCTCTCTTTTATATTTTGGTTTAACACAGTGGTTTAACACATTCTCTCTTTTATATTTGGTTTACAAATTCCTCTACTCAAGTTAGAACTACTTCAATTATGACTATGTTATCTATGTCAAACTATGATTATGTTATGTATGTCAAACTATGACTATGTTATGTATGTCAAACTATGACTATGTTATGTATGTCAAACTATGATTATGTTATGTATGTCAAACTATGATTATGTTATGTATGTCAAACTATGACTATGTTATGTATGTCAAACTATGACTATGTTATGTATGTCAAACTATGATTATGTTATGTATGTCAAACTATGACTATGTTATGTATGTCAAACTATGACTATGTTATGTATGTCAAACTATGACTATGTTATGTATGTCAAACTATGATTATGTTATTTATGTCAAACTATGACTATGTTATTTATGTCAAACTATGACTTTGTTATGTATGTCAAACTATGACTATGTTATGTATGTCCAACTATGACTATGTTATGCATGTCAAACTATGACTATGTTATGTATGTCAAACTATGACTATGTTATGTATGTCAAACTATGACTATGTTATGTATGTCAAACTATGACCAAAAAGGAAGCAACAAGCTGCAGAAAAATAATAAAAAATGAACTGCATGGATCAAGATTTATCCAGAAAATGAAAAAGCAAGTGATTTAGGACTCTGATATTCCTAAACAATGCGTATTTGATGAAAAATAAAATAAAAACTGCGACATTTAAGGAGAACTGTTAAAGCAAGCATAAAGTTTATGAAAACTGGGAAAAATTGAGTCTTGAAACGTAAAAACAAGACCCATCTTATAATGCTATTGAAAATCTGATTACAAAATGAGGACTTGGTTAACAGACTAAAAACAAAATAAAAAAAAAAGATTTCAGAAAGTTGGACAGGGGCAGGTGACTAAGAAAAGAGCAGGACCATCTTGGGGAGAGCTGCTATGGCAGACCCATGGCCAGAAAAGGAAAAAGATGACGTGAGGAAATAGTTGCCAGTATAATCATTTTTAAACATTCCTGTTTTTTTATGCCTGTTATTTCTATGAAATTTTACCCTTAAAAACTGACCAAGACAACTGAATCTCTAACAAAGTAAAATATATGTATGAAATAATACGGATATTAAATGTGTGCAGAGGGAGGGGGGCCAGGTGGAGGGGGCCCAGGCCCTAGGCATCCACATCAGGGGACATCCACATCAGGGGACATCCACATCAGGGGACATCCACATCAGGGGACATCCACATCAGGGGACATCCACATCAGGGGACATCCACATCAGGGGACATCCACATCAGGGGACATCCACATCAGGGGACATCCACATCAGGGGACATCCACATCAGGGGACATCCACATCAGGGGACATCCACATCAGGGGACATCCACATCGGGGACATCCACATCAGGGGACATCCAACAGGGATATTATTTTTTGGGGGAGTAAAAAGTATTGTTATTTTGTGACATTTTAATGATCCATTGTTTACCAGACTATATTCTCCAAATTGTTATATAAAATTCGCCCAAATTGTTATCTAAATTTTGCCCAAATCTAATATATATAGTTCAATTCTGTATGTATGTAACCAAGGATTACAATGGCATATAACAGGAGTCAGCAACCAATTGAGAGGGAAGAGCCAAAATTTGCAATTTACAAAATTTCCCAGTTTTCAAAGAGCCACTAACATTTTTATTTCAATATTATGATCTTTGATTGGGATTAGGTATATATATATATATATATATATATATATATATATATATATATATATATATATATATATATATATATATATATATATATATATATATATATATATATATATATATATATATATTTATATATATAAAGCAATGTATGTGTGTGTGTCTTAGGAAGTTGTTGAGAGGTATCTGCGAAAAAAAAGGCTAATTTGCAGGATGGCTCCCTGGCAAGGCGCGATTTGATTATTCTCTATATACAGTATATAAAAATGTAAGTCTCTATATACAGTATATAAAAATATAAGTCTCTATATACAGTATATAAAAATATAAGTCAATTGGGGATTGACACCGGGCACACCCATGAGCACCATGGTGCTTAAGTTCATTTTAAACAGTGTGATAGGCTATGGGTACCATGGTTGCTATGGTCGCTCATTTAATCCAATCAGGAGCGTCATACTGGCATCTCTGCAGGGTGTGATTTGGCGCCAAGGGCTATCCCGCAAGCACTACACGCCTACGTAAGTTTTAAAGAGCACCCTACAATAATGAAAATGCGGCACACGATATTGGAGGATTAAACCATGCTAGGGGCTGCACCCCTGCAGTAGTGTCATCTGGTTGACGAATGCGCCACTTTCCGTCCCCGACACAGAGAGTGATTAACGGTGATATTACTGTGAGTGATTAATGTACACTCAAGGGGGTCTGGTTTTTTGTGACAACATGTGAAGGAGGGGAGGGGGGGAGGTAAAAAATCTTCAAAAAAAGCTTTTATGGATGACTCCTATATTGAAATAGGGAGTAACTAAATGTTTTTAAATAGAATAGCGAGTGTTTATTGGTTATATTTATTACTATATCGTTCATTACTGAGTGTTGCAGACTAATATTTTTATGAGTTTTAAAAATTAAAAAAAATAATATTTATTAACATTTGTGCATGGAGCTGAAGAGCCGCATCTTGACATCAAAAGAGCTGTGTCTAAAGTGCTCATCATCTAAATTTATGGTTTTAAAAAATTAATACTGAAAGTGTTGTAAAACAATTTTTATTTTTCAAACTGATATTAATAATTGTGGGCATGTTCATTAAACAAAATATTTAAAAATATCATCTTTTACAAAAATTCTAATTATGTCTGAAAATTATTTATATTTAGTCCTTTAGCACTTATTACATCCCTTGATAAATTAGGAAAACACAATTACTTCCCTTTAAAAAAAACATTACATCAATTGGAAAAGACTTTACTTTTTATATATTAGACATAATCAGCGGGGATTGATCAAGAGAAATGTTGAAGGTATTTTTCAATACTGCCTTTTATTTATTCTATACACTGAACGTACTGTTTTTTTTTAAATCAATGACAATTAATAAGCCAGCTCCTAAATGTCCCATATCCTGTGAGTGCTATGGTGCATATTTCGCTTTTAAACATTGCTATAGACTATGGATAAGAAAGGTTACTATAGTGTTTAAGTGAATCAAATCCAGGCGTCCTCCGGCACCCCGACAGGGTGCTATTTTGCGCCCCGGGCCTTCCCGTGTTTGCTGAGTCGCCTACATTCATTTAAGTGAGTGCAATAGCACTAAGCTGAAACAGGCTGTTCCGCCGGTGCCTCAGCATGGTGCGATTTGGCGCCACGTACTAGACTGTGATCACTTTGCGTTTATGTTTGCGTTTGTGTTTTCTTTGTGTTTGGGTTAAGGTTGGGGTTGGGTTTGCGTTTGTGGTTGGGTTTGTGTTTGGATTTGGTTTGTTTTTATTTGCTTTTTTGTTTGTGTTTGTGTTTTCTTTGTGTTTGTGGTTGGGTTTGTGTTTGTAGTTGTGTTTGCATTTGTGTTGTTTGCGTTTTTTGTCTTTTGTTTTGCTATAGTTTTGGTTGGTTGTGGTTAGGGTGGGCAATGCCGGGTATATGCTGATTACTAAACACACATCATGGTCCTTTACAGATAGGTTTTTCACAGAGGCCAGTGCAGGGCCTGGCCAGGACAGCTAGTTGTTATATAAAATTTGCCCAAATTGATATATAAAATTTGCCCAAATAAAATTTGAACAAATTGTTATATAAATTTCACCCAAATTGTTATATAGAATTCGCCCAAATTGTTATATAAAATTTACCCAAATTGTTATATAAAATTAGCCAAATTGTTATATAAAATTCGCCCAAATTATATAAAATTCGTCCAAATTGTTGTATAAAATTTGAACAAATTGTTATATAAAATCATCCACAGAAGCATCTGCGAAGTAATAATGTAGATATTTACTTTAATCAATTTTGCGGGCATCCGTAGTGTATTAAGCTCATAATCATATTATATACACCAGGGGTACCTTTAATTTTATTACTCATATATTCATCATGTCTTGCTTTGTTTTCAATGCATTAAGTCAGCAGTTTAAAATCTGCAAGTAAATGGGCTCTATAGTTCACAGAAAACAATACTTACCTAAATGTTGTGTTGACTATAGGAGTAAAAGAATAGGTTGCTTCTCCATGGGTCACATAGCGCTGAAGATAAAAAACACATTTATAAGAAAACTAATGTCTGAAGATAAAAACACATTTATAAGAAAACTAATGTCTGAAGATAAAAACACATTTATAAGAAAACTAATGTCTGAAGATAAAAACACATTTATAAGAAAACCAATGTCTGAAGATAAAAACACATTTATAAGAAAACTAATGTCTGAAGATAAAAAACACATTTATAAGAAAACTAATGTCTGAAGATAAAAACACATTTATAAGAAAACTAATGTCTGAAGATAAAAACACATTTATAAGAAAACCAATGTCTGAAGATAAAAACACATTTATAAGAAAACTAATGTCTGAAGATAAAAAACACATTTATAAGAAAACTAATGTCTGAAGATAAAAACACATTTATAAGAAAACTAATGTCTGAAGATAAAAAACACATTTATAAGAAAACTAATGTCTGAAGATAAAAAACACATTTATAAGAAAACTAATGTCTGAAGATAAAAAACACATTTATAAGAAAACTAATGTCTGAAGATAAAAAACACATTTATAAGAAAACCAATGTCTGAAGATAAAAAACACATTTATAAGAAAACTAATGTCTGAAGATAAAAAACACATTTATAAGAAAACTAATGTCTGAAGATAAAAACACATCCTAATATATAAAGGCCCATGTGCGCACTTTTCTCTGTCCGCAATAATTTTGGCAACATCGTCAGCATGTTCAGCAATATATGGAGAACTTAAAGTTATGGACTTTTGTTGAAAATAACATGGTGGAATTAATAAATGTATAAACTAAATTTTCTTTAAAAAAGGAAAATAAAAGCATATTCGAATGTAGAAACAGATTTCTAGCTAAAGCGTTTATTGTCGTGACAAGAATGCATTAAACAATGATGTCACATGTCATATGTTTACATTAAGAAAAGAACACAAAACTAATGGCGTCATCTTACAATTTTAGAATATAAAGAAATGAACTATTTCAATCAAATTTGATTTAGATCTATGTACGCTATGAAATGTATACAATCCTTAACTTAGCTATGGAATTGGCTAATTTGGGATAAAATTTAATTTGAAATAATAGGACCTATTCGCCTACCTTAAGTTTTTAACGAGGATTCTACACCACTAAAACAGAAAAACCAGTATCCGCTACCCCCAATTCCCCCCCCCCCTAAAAGAAAAACCAGGTAGCCTATAAGTAAAGAGAAGAGAGCTAACAGTCACCAGAATTGCCTGTGTAACAGGTACCCATGGCTAATTTATAAGAAAACCCATGTCTGTCCTCAGGACTTGTCAACAAGTTATGTGATGTAATGTCTGACACTTTACCTGATGTAATGACTGACACGTTACCTGATGTAATGGCTGACACTTTACCTGATGTAATGGCTGACACTTTACCTGATGTAATGGCTGACACGTTACCTGATGTAATGACTGACATGTTACCTGATGTAATGGCTGACACTTTACCTGATGTAATGGCTGACACTTTACCTGATGTAATGGCTGACACGTTACCTGATGTAATGGCTGACACGTTACCTGATGTAATGGCTGACACTTTACCTGATGTAATGGCTGACACGTTACCTGATGTAATGGCTGACACGTTACCTGATGTAATGGCTGACACTTTACCTGATGTAATGGCTGACACTTTACCTGATGTAATGGCTGACACTTTACCTGATGTAATGGCTGACACGTTACCTGATGTAATGGCTGACACGTTACCTGATGTAATGGCTGACACTTTACCTGATGTAATGGCTGACACTTTACCTGATCTTCTGAGAGGAAGAGCGTGGAAATGTTGGCAGAGTTGCTTGTATTATTTATCATATCTTCTCTCAACTGAAAAACAAAGAAAAAAATTTAAAACAATTCTGATTAATTAAATCATTGTGTTAACATTTAGATATAGTGGAAATGTTTGTAGTATAAAAAGATGATATAGATATAGTGGAAATGTTTGTAGTATAAAAAGATGATATAGATATAGTGGAAATGTTTGTAGTATAAAAAGATGATACTGATGAAGTAAGGAAGATGGTGATATTTTTGTGTTGGCCCTATAAAAGATATTGCACTAGTCTGTCTCAACTCTAGCCATATGTACCTGGTTATGTCATGAATAAAACTCCAGCCATATGTACCTGGTTTTGTCATGAATAAAACTCCAGCCATATGTAACTGGTTATGTCATGAATAAAACTCCAGCCATATGTACCTGGTTATGTCATGAATAAAACTCCGGCCATATGTACCTGGTTATGTCATGAATAAAACTCTGGCCATATTTACCTGTTCTAGTTGTTGGTTTCCTTCATCAATTTCAAGCTCTAGTATATCGATATTTGGTGGTTCTTTGGTATATTTGCCCTAAAATATAGAATATATAAAAATGGCAGCATTTTTTACATAAGAATTCATGATAATTTGCCTATATAATTAAGTTAAAAGTAAAAGAAACACAGAATCTATGCACAAGCCAGAAAAATGGGTAACTAAAGATTTGTTCCTCAATTTAAAAATTTTCTTTAATAAAATGTATGTAACTGAGATTCCCAGTTAAGTAGCATAAGACTATTTCTATAACCTTTAGACGCCTTAGACAGTCTGCTGACAAGTCTTAAGAAGTCTTAGACAGTCTGCTGACAAGTCTTAAGAAGTCTTAGACAGTCTGCTGACAAGTCTTAAGAAGTCTTAGACAGTCTGCTGCCAAGTCTTTAGAAGCCTTAGACAGATTGCTGCAAAGTATTTTGACAAGCTGTTCTTTTCACAACAAGCACAACCAGAAGAGATTTTTCAATGTGTTGCTTACTGTAGTTTGTAAATTAGGGTGGAATACCACATAGCCATTTGGGTTTATAGCAAATGAATATCCATTAGGACCAATCTGCAAGAAATAAAATACCATTCCAATCAATTCAACTAACTTGTTGAAAATATCAATGTGCCTATGGCCTTAGCATAGTAACAAACTAGGAACTACTGTAGACGTTTAACTAAATACACTAGATCTATATATCAATATACTAACTGATTAAAACTGTTTTTAATATTTAAAACATTGTGAAAAAAATGCGAAACAAAATTGTTGGGCCTATATTTATGAGCAGGGTAGGGCGAAAATTTGGTCTCAATCAACTCAAATAATCTGTTGGAAATAAGTGACTAAAGCCAGAACCTTGAAAAAATATTTTCTCATTTATTTCTTATCTCACACAAGTATTAAATATTGAAGGTAGGCCTACTCAAATGTTAGTCACTTGATGAATAGAAATTGTTTGCATAAAAAGTGCAATTTAAAATTTAGAAGCACAATTTATTTTTAAAAATTTCTTATTACAAGAGAGAAATTAGAAACATAATGAAATATAAAAAATGTGTATAAAAGTGAAAACAAGTTAATAAAAAGTCTAGTGACAATTTAAGCGCAATTTCCTTATGTTATCTAAAAATAGATAGACGTATAATGCTGGTGTGCGTTCAAGCTAGGAGAACGATCAGTTTGTAGGTGTTTATGTAATTTTTAAAAAAATTTTGTGACCGAACGAAAGGATATTTTTGAAAACTTTCTTCGGCAATATTGTTCTAAATTATGGCAGGAATCGATTGGTAAATGTTTCAAGTCGCTAAGTGGTCTGGTTGCCGAGATATCGGCCAAAAACTGCATTTTTTCGAGGTTTTTTGGCTTTTCAGGGAAATCCAGGAAGGAATTCCGGGAATTTTTTTGGCCCACAATCATCCTCGGAACTTGCTTAACATATTTGGTTTTGGAACTAGTCCTCGATATTGCTTTGTTGAGGAGGAGATACGACTTAAAGCTGCGGACACACATCGGACACACATCCTTGACGAGTTAATAATCGCAATTGTCCGTATGGAAATTGCGCTAATAATGTATCAAGAGTGAATCTAATGATTCATTTTAATTGAGTTTTTTTTTTACTTTCTATCATTTGAAAATAATCTTTAGTTTGACATGTATGAAATAATTCTGCTAAGGATAGTAAGAGGTATTGATTTTTTTTCAACACATACATTTTATTTCATGAGTTAGCTTGTAAGTTTAGTTTAAAGAAGAAAAAGGTTAATGCTAATTAACAAAATAAATGAAAACCAATAGCTTTTTGTAAGCTTTTATTTCCCATGATTCCTCATGTTTAAGCTGTCTTGTGTCAAGTCCAATCCTGACCACTTCTATTGCACCAATTTGTTTCAAATCTAGCTCAAGGTGACAAATGGTTTACAATCATGGCTTAAAGATTGCTCTCTAAAGTACTTTTTTTTATCATGTCTTGAAACACACCTGCTACACAAGTCTAATGTCATTCTAGTCAAATTTTAAATAGATTTAAAAGAAAAATGTAGTTTATGTAACATGGTTTTATAAATGCACTAAAAGGAAATGATTTTCTTTAAGTATAAAATGATGCAGCGCTTGTTATACATTTAGGGTAAGGCTAGGTCATATTGTCAAATTCATGATTGCAAATTTTCTTTTTCTGTTTAGAATTGAAAATAGTGTATTATAATACTCATTATCTTTAAAAATTCAACCAGAAGTTAAAATACATCATCCAAATTTAACACATCTTCTTAATATCCTATCACAATATACAACTAAGAGTTTATATTTTTAAAATGTTACATTTGAATAATGCATGTATTATCCGCACAATATAAAACCTAATGATACAGATCTAGTAACTGAGTAAACATCATCACACAGTGTAGACCCGCGTTGGGGGAAATAATGGAATCAAATCAGTTAAGAGGAGCCTTTATGCTAATATCAAAATATGGACATAGTGGAAAAGTTTTATTTCTAAAATTAGGTTACAGACTTTTTTTATAACCTGAGACATGCTCGTTTGATATGATAGACCAAATAAATTAACCTCTTTATTTCTGACACATGTTTGTTTCATAGGATAAATAAATTAACCTCTTTATTTCTGACACATGTTTGTTTCATAGAATAAATAAATTAACCTCTTTATTTCTGACACATGTTTGTTTCATAGAATAAATAAATTAACCTCTTTATTTCTGACACATGTTTGTTTCATAGGATAAATAAATTAACCTCTTTATTTCTGACACATGTTTGTTTCATAGGATAAATAAATTAACCTCTTTATTTCTGACACATGTTTGTTTCATAGGATAAATAAATTAACCTCTTTATTTCTGACACATGTTTGTTTCATAGGATAAATAAATTAACCTCTTTATTTCTGACACATGTTTGTTTCATAGAATAAATAAATTAACCTCTTTATTTCTGACACATGTTTGTTTCATAGAATAAATAAATTAACCTCTTTATTTCTGACACATGTTTGTTTCATAGGATAAATAAATTAACCTCTTTATTTCTGACACATGTTTGTTTCATAGGATAAATAAATTAACCTCTTTATTTCTGACACATGTTTGTTTCATAGGATAAATAAATTAACCTCTTTATTTCTGACACATGTTTGTTTCATAGGATAAATAAATTAACCTCTTTATTTCTGACACATGTTTGTTTCATAGGATAAATAAATTAACCTCTTTATTTCTGACACATGTTTGTTTCATAGGATAAATAAATTAACCTCTTTATTTCTGACACATGTTTGTTTCATAGGATAAATAAATTAACCTCTTTATTTCTGACACATGTTTGTTTCATAGGATAAATAAATTAACCTCTTTATTTCTGACACATGTTTGTTTCATAGGATAAATAAATTAACCTCTTTATCTCTGACACATGTTTGTTTCATAGGATAAATAAATTAACCTCTTTATTTCTGACACATGTTTGTTTCATAAGATAAATAAATTAACCTCTTTATTTCTGACACATGTTTGTTTCATAGGATAAATAAATTAACCTCTTTATTTTTGACACATGTTTGTTTCATAGGATAAATAAATTAACCTCTTTATTTCTGACACATGTTTGTTTCATAAGATAAATAAATTAACCTCTTTATTTCTGACACATGTTTGTTTCATAAGATAAATAAATTAACCTCTTTATTTTTGACACATGTTTGTTTCATAGGATAAATAAATTAACCTTTTTATTTCTGACAAAATGAAAAAAAAACGGCTGGGCGGAAAAGATTTCTTTTCCAAAAACTGTCGGTTATCAGAAAAGGCAGAAAAACATTGATTTTCTTTCCTGTGTAAAATTTCCCATATTTTTCAGAGTAAAAATGTTCTCAAACGGAAAAAGTTCCAGAAAAAAAGCTGAAAAGTTACATGTCTGGTAGATATGTTACATGTCTGGTAGATAGTCTAAGAATTAAAAGCTGAAAAGTTACATGTCTGGTAGATATGTTACATGTCTGGTAGATAGTCTAAGAATTAAAAGCTGAAAAGTTACATGTCTGGTAGATAGTCTAAGAATTAATATCTTTACGGCTTAGTTATTTAACTAGTTCAAATGTTGTGTTTATTATATGAATATAACTGTGGCCAGCTGGTTAATACACACATCAAATGTAGATCCGTGATAGAGATACTTACATATAGAGATATGTAGAAATATTCAAATGTTATATTTTTTGGAAATCTGACCTTTTCAATGGGAGTCTTATCAGACAATGTTTTGGTGGTGACATCAATCCCCATAACTCCGAGAATGGTTTGGTTGGTCTGTAAAACAAGACATAGTTTTGTATTGAGAATGGTTTGGTTGGTCTGTAAAACAAGACATAGTTTTGTATTGAGAATGGTTTGGTTGGTCTGTAAAACAATTATTTCTTTTGCAAGGAACATTTTGTTACATCAATTTAACTCCTCAAAAAGATTTAAAATGTACTTAATAACATAACTATTATATAAATATTCAAATTTCAAAAGAATTGAAAAATAATTTTAAAAAAAAAACCATTTAAAAAAGCATGATCTTACATGTCATTTTACCCTCTCCTGTCACTTTTCTATGACCTCATTTCATCATTTGGATAATATATGATAACCAAGTATTTAGTTTTTAGTTGCCTATTAGACTATCATCTTTAATTGTGGATCTAATACAGTGTGTCAATAATTTAAAAAATGGACTTACAGAACTGAGACTTCGGTTGTAAACAGGTAATGTTACTGTTGTCATCATGCCAAGACCCTACAATATACAAACATTTCTTTATTCACTTGCGTGCACTATTTCATGGCCTCTTTAATCAGTGCTTAAAACTTGGTTACAAAATAATAGTTGACAATTTAAAGTATTTTTATGCAGGCCTTCTCAAATTATTTTTAAAATTTGATCAAATTTAACAAAAATGTATTTTTAAAATGAATATGTAAAAATGGTAATGGAGATTGAAGGAAAAACGTTTGTAGTTTGAATCTACTGAGTCATTCAAATAATGTAAACATTTCTGTTTTCAAACATTTGTAGTTTGAATCTACTGAGTCATTCAAATAATGTAAACATTTCTGTTTTCAAACATTTGTAGTTTGAATCTACTGAGTCATTCAAATAATGTAAACATTTCTGTTTTCAAACATTTGTAGTTTGAATCTACTGAGTCATTCAAATAATGTAAACATTTCTGTTTTCAAACAAGTTGGCACATCCAGGCAAACACAAATTCTGTAGCACAAAAATGAAGAAATTTTCATCTCAAAAGTAAAGGTTGCATGCCAACAAAATTTTGCTTCAAATCGGCAACCAGTAGTAGCCAAACCCTACAAGGATGATTTTTATGAAGAATATAGAAAAAAACAACACTGTTCTGTTTTACAACAACAATTTTGTGCAAACAAGATGCAACAATCATTTACAAGAGATGGTGAAACAGCAGGCTTAGTATCAGATTTGTAAAACATGGGATTTGAAAAAACACAATCCATCACTTATAGCTAACCACTTTATCATGTATACTCATGATGTGTTCACCACACACACCAGGCCACTGTACTGAACCAATCAACTGGCAAGTGTTCAACACACACCAATTTATCATAATTATAATCAGATCAGTATTGTTACATAATTTGTTGAATAATTTGGCGCTTCTATTGTTGAAATAAGGTATTTGGGTCAGCATCTTTACCAAAACAATTTTCAAAAATAGGTCGTCAAGTCTCTTCCTACTTGTAGGTGATCATGGGCAATTAAGGTGTTAGTATAATACTTCATCTAAGCATGTCACTGGAAGTGTATGTAAGTGTAATATGTCATCTAAATATGTCAATGGAAGTGTATGTAAGTATAATACTTCATCTAAGCATGTCACTGGAAGTGTATGTAAGTATAATACTTCATCTATGTTTGTCATTGGAAGTGTATGTAAGTGTAATACTTCATCTAAGCATGTCACTGGAAGTGTAGGTAAGTGTAATACGTCATCTAAGCATGTCATTGGAAGTGTATGTAAGTGTAATATGTCATCTAAATATGTCATTGGAAGTGTATGTAAGTGTAATATGTCATGTAAGAATGTCATTGGAAGTGTATGTAAGTGTAATACTTCATCTAAGCATGTCATTGGAAGTGTATGTAAGTGTAATACGTCATCTAAGTATGTCATTGGAAGTGTATGTAAGTGTAATACGTCATCTAAGAATGTCACTGGAAGTGTATGTAAGTGTAATACGTCATCTAAATATGTCACTGGAAGTGTATGTAAGTGTAATATGTCATCTAAGTATGTCATTGTAAGTGTATGTAAGTGTAATACGTCATCTAAGTATGTCATAGGAAGTGTATGTATGGCAAAAATGAATAAATCAGATAGCTAAACCACTTTTCCTACTGAAGCAACATTTGTATGGCCTATTCTCTGATAAAAAGTAAAGAATAGTGTAATAAAATATGAACTATAAAATTAACATTTGACAGAAGAAACATAAAAAAAAAAACCCCACAATGAACCAGTTGAATGAAAATACACTTTTTATATAAACACTAGAATACCCGTCATCCGTTGGATAACTGTGGGTTTCGGGGGTCATCCATCAAAAAACATCACGTCTGTCACTCAGAGGCATAGCGACCCTTCCCGGCGCCCGGGGACAAACTTTTCGATTTGAACCCCCCCCCCCCTCCCCCCCCCCCCCCAAGATTTCGATTTTCAACCCCCCCCCCCCCTCAAACTTTTGATGTGCAACCCCCCCCCCCCCCCCCCACTCAAACTTTCCATTTGAACCCCCCTCAACCTTTCAATTTATTTTTCCAAACCATTTTGGCGCCCCAACATATGTCCCCCCCGCCCCCCCTCCACCTCCCCCCGCCTCCCCTTCCCCCCCCCCCGCCTCCCCTCCCGCCCCCCCCCCCTCCTCGCTACTGCAGTGTCACTTATCGTCACAAAAAACAGACCCCACATTCAAAAATATGTTTTTTATCTTTTAAAAACACCGAAAACAACGATTTCGGACTATCCCTTCATATACTGACGTCACAGGTGACCTACTCAACTCTACTTCACCTGCCCAGTGTCCCGCCAAGTCTCAGACAACAAAAACGATTCCAGCCGAGCATGTCTCTGACCACACTATCCCTTCATTTGCTTAGGACAAAGAAACAGATGAACCCTACTTCACCTGCCCTGTGCCCCGCGAGGTCCTGATAGTCAACCTTATCATTCACATATAGGGCTTAAAAAAAATTATTGAAAACGTAAAAAAAAAAAAAAGTTCTATTAATGTTTATGACACTGACTTTAAAATTTAGCCTTCATTCTCCAAAGCAAATTTTAAAATGCTTTTCTGGCATATCTAGCCCTGGCCACCTATACCATGTTTAAATAATGTGAACACCCGCCATTTTGCTCGTGGTAAACATGGCCTAAAAAGGGTCCGAAGTCATTCGTCCGGTCCGTACGCCATATTGTTGTTAGCAGCCGACCACGCCTCCAAGCTAGTGAGTAATCCTACTTTATCTAGATATAGAACGTAGATAACAAAAAAAGCCCATGTATTCTCGAATTAGATGATCATTGAAGCTAAACAAAGATTTATATAAAATAATTAAGGCCCGAAATAGATTCTAGATGTAGAATTTACATTAATCTAGATCTAGAATTTACATTGAGTCTAGTGACCTAGATCTAGATCTAGGCCCTAGGCTAGATTCTAGATTCATAACTTTCCTTCGACAGCAGATCTTTAGATCTAGAGAAATTTATTGTAAAACTAAATGAAAAAGACAGTTGAAAATTGGTATAAGTGTTGGAACGTAATAAATACAGCAAACGGACGTATTGTTAAAGTTAAAGCCGACAGAAAATTAGCTTTAGAACGCGTTAAACATTGGAATGGGAACACAATCTTCTTCGATAGGCCGCCATTATCGATGTAAAAAAATAAACACATCATGTGACGTCACTGTTTCCGTCGAGTCTAGTGGCTTTTCAAATCTTTTTTAAAAAAATGGGTTAATCTGCATATGAATAAATCAATTAATTAATTAACGTCTTTAAATAAATTTGTGATCAACAGTCTGTCTGCATTAAAAAATTATTCTCTACCTGCATACCATTTTACAGCTTTCCAGATAGAGTCGAACATATCACAATTTTCGATCAGGCAAACAAATAAATATTCAAACATGTAAACAAACTTGACTTTTAGTAGTATATAGATAGTTGAGAATCAACTAGATCTAGATAAAGTCACACTAAGCAAAAACAATGAGTAAAAGTTGGGCTACTTCTATTCAATTGGGAAAACGAGCTGAAAAAAAAACCTGCACTATTGTGGAGTTTCAAAAGAACTAGCTAAAAAATTAAATGAACTAGCTAGAAATAAAATGAACCAGTTAAAAGTTAAAGGACTATTTAAATAGCAAATGCACTATCTAAAAAGTAAATGAACTATCTAAAAAGTAAATGAACTATCTAAAAAGTAAATGAACTATCTAAAAACAAAATGAACAATCAAAAACTAAATAAACTACTTAAAACCTTGAGGAAAAAAGCTGCTTTTGGTTGTGTACCAGTAAAGGAAACTCAAATAAAGTTGTGAAAGCATTAAAAAATAAAAACAAAGCAAACAAATTTAACCAAAATAAGGAACCAATGCTGATAATTGGTTATAATGTAAGAGACAAATCTAAATTCAACTTTGGTAACATTTTGAAATTTTTTCAAAAGAGCACTTTAAGTTTTAGTTTTAAAATGATCAAACTAAGCAAAGGCTACTTCATTACACTAGCTCAAGAAATGGAATCTAAAAGAAATAACACAAGAAATGAATGAGTATCTTTCTATTCTAAGTCTACATACTACTCTTACATTGGAGTTTTCTGAAAAGCACAATAAAATAAAATCTATTTAAAAAGCACATTTCAGTATTCCTGTTTTTTTATATTTCAAAATAATTGTAAGGACAATTTTAAAAATTTAAAATAAAAAAAATATGGGAATAAGGATAATGGCATTATGGTTTAAGAATAAAAATAGTTTGAATGGATCCACATCCATGACAGAATTGATTGTTTAATAGTCACTTGGAGCTTTACTACCACTTTCATAGAAAGAACAAATTATCAAGTCAAAGCTGGTTATCAGTTTTGAGCACAAATGATTTAGTTTTTATAGGAAATACTGAAAAATAAATGATCCAAGCACACATTTATTCTATTCTAAAACTGAATCTTCTATCATCAATAAAACAAACTGTCAACTAACTTTTCTCTAACTGGGAAAATTACTAGAATCTAGAAGCATCTAGACATAACCTAGTTGATTGGACTAGTTCAAGTAGCATCTAGACCTAACCTACTTGATTGGACTAGTTCAAGTAGCATCTAGACCTAACCTAGTTGATTAGACTAGTTCAAGTAGCATCTAGACCTAACCTAGTTGATTGGACTAGTTCAAGTAGCATCTAGACCTAACCTAGTTGATTAGAGCAGATCAAGTAGCATCTAGACCTAACCTAGTTGATTAGAGCAGATCAAGTAGCATCTAGACATAACCTAGTTGATTAGACTAGTTCAAGTAGCATCTAGACCTAACCTAGTTGATTAGACTAGTTCAAGTAGCATCTAGACCTAACCTAGTTGATTGGACTAGTTCAAGTAGCATCTAGACCTAACCTAGTTGATTGGACTAGTTCAAGTAGCATCTAGACCTAACCTAGTTGATTAGAGCAGATCAAGTAGCATCTAGACCTAACCTAGTTGATTGGACTAGTTCAAGTAGCATCTAGACCTAACCTAGTTGATTGGACTAGTTCAAGTAGCATCTAGACCTAACCTAGTTGATTGGAGCAGATCAAGTAGCATCTAGACCTAACCTAGTTGATTGGACTAGTTCAAGTAGCATCTAGACCTAACCTAGTTGATTGGACTAGTTCAAGTAGCATCTAGACCTAACCTAGTTGATTGGAGCAGATCAAGTAGCATCTAGACCTAACCTAGTTGATTAGAGCAGATCAAGTAGCATCTAGACCTAACCTAGTTGATTGGACTAGTTCAAGTAGCATCTAGACCTAACCTAGTTGATTGGAGCAGATCAAGTAGCATCTAGACCTAACCTAGTTGATTGGAGCAGATCAAGTAGCATCTAGACCTAACCTAGTTGATTGGACTAGTTCAAGTAGCATCTAGACCTAACCTAGTTGATTGGACTAGTTCAAGTAGCATCTAGACCTAACCTAGTTGATTAGAGCAGATCAAGTAGCATCTAGACCTAACCTAGTTGATTAGAGCAGATCAAGTAGCATCTAGACCTAACCTAGTTGATTAGAGCAGATCAAGTAGCATCTAGACCTAACCTAGTTGATTGGAGCAGATCAAGTAGCATCTAGACCTAACCTAGTTGATTGGAGGTCATGACATGACTGGTAAATGACTTTATAGAGTAATATCAGGAAGTGTTGAAGGTAAATGACTTTATAGATTAGTATCAGGAAGTGTTGAAGGTAAATGACTTTATAGATTAGTATCAGGAAGTGTTGAAGGTAAATGACTTTATAGATTAGTATCAGGAAGTGTTGAAGGTAAATGACTTTATAGGGTAATATCAGGAAGTGTTGAAGGTAAATGACTTTATAGAGTAATATCAGGAAGTGTTGAAGGTAAATGACTTTATAGAGTAGTATCAGGAAGTGTTGAAGGTAAATGACTTTATAGAGTAATATCAGGAAGTGTTGAAGGTAAATGACTTTAGTATTAGGAAGTGTTGAAGGTAAATGACTTTATAGAGTAGTATCAGGAAGTGTTGAAGGTAAATGACTTTAGTATCAGGAAGTGTTGAAGGTAAATGACTTTATAGAGTAGTATCAGGAAGTGTTGAAGGTAAATGACTTTAGTATCAGGAAGTGTTGAAGGTAAATGACTTCATAGAGTAGTATCAACAAATGAAATCACTCAGTAACTGCTGGGCCCAATTTTCTATATATATAATTCTCTTCTTGGAGACGATAGAAAACAAGCTGTAAGCGTGCTCCCTACCACCCCACCCCCACCCCTACATGGTTTGGTGAGCTGTGGTTCACTCTAAATGTTTACAAGCAGAGCCGAGTTTAGTGACGACTATTAGGGGCAGATAATTTAGTTTGAAACGATTTTAAACGTAGGGGGGGGGGGGGGGTGCTATGTGGAGTTTACTTTAACGGAGGTGGGGGGGGGGAGGAGTGGGGGGGGGAGGAGTGGGGAGGAGGAGGATGAGGGGGGGGTTATCGTCCATAGCCTACTTAGAGTGTTTTAAAGAAATATTTTCAGTGGCAGCGTTGGTACTGTCGAATTCACAAATTATGAATTACTGAAAAGTAGAAAATAAAACAACTAAATAGAGGCGTATGATACGCCGCGGGTCGGGTCATTATACATATCATAATAGGGTCTGATAAAACAATGGAACCAGCACAAGTAAATAATGGAGGTGTTGTACAATATTTTATCAAGTAAATAATGGATGTGTTTTACAATATTTTATCAAGTAAATAATGGAGGTGTTGTACAATATTTTTTTAAGTAAATAATGGAGGTGTTTTACAATATTTTATCAAGTAAATAATGGATGTGTTTTACAATATTTTATCAAGTAAATAATGGATGTGTTGTACAATATTTTATCAAGTAAATAATGGAGGTGTTGTACAATATTTTAAGATTTAAAAAAAAACACTATCAATTATACTTATTTAATATAAAATTTGAATAGATAATAATAAGGGCCCTAAATTCTAATTTTGTCAAAGTTTACTTTTTTCCTGAAATAAACCTTAAATAGATAGGAAAGCTCTAGTTGAACTAGAAGAACTCTAGTTGGGTTAACTAACCAAAAGAATTTGATTGTTTCTATTTATAAATCTGCCTCATCAGTACAAAGATGATGAAACATTGCAACTAAAAATGATTCTATTCAGACACAGACAGACAAATAGTGATTCTACTTACAGTGACAATAAACTGGTCATATGGGGAAAATCTAAATAACACAGCCACTTAGACATGAACTAGACAGCAATCTGAGAAAATATACCATATGATCCATATAAATGTTGCCCCATTCAAATGTTTTCTTGTTCTGGATGACCTGTGGCCGGCTCAGGACTGGAATATATTCCTTGAGGATCACAAGAACATTTCTGTCAGCAACTTTAAACAAGAACATTTCTTTCACCAACTTTAAACAAGAAAATTTTTTTCAGCAACTTTAAACAAGAACATTTCTTTCACCAACTTTAAACAAGAACATTTCTTTCAGCAACTTTAAACAAGAACATTTCTTTCAGCAACTTTAAACAAGAACATTTCTGTCAGCAACTTTAAACAAGAACATTTCTTTCAGCAACTTTAAACAAGAACATTTCTTTCAGCAACTTTAAACAAGAACATTTCTGTCAGCAACTTTAAACAAGAACATTTCTTTCAGCAACTTTAAACAAGAACATTTCTGTCAGCAACTTTAAACAAGAACATTTCTGTCAGCAACTTTAAACAAGAACATTTCTGTCAGCAACTTTAAACAAGAACATTTCTTTCAGCAACTTTAAACAAGAACATTTCTTTCAGCAACTTTAAACAAGAACATTTCTGTCAGCAACTTTAAACAAGAACATTTCTTTCAGCAACTTTAAACAAGAACATTTCTTTCAGCAACTTTAAACAAGAACATTTCTGTCAGCAACTTTAAACAAGAACATTTCTTTCAGCAACTTTAAACAAGAACATTTCTGTCAGCAACTTTAAACAAGAACATTTCTGTCAGCAACTTTAAACAAGAACATTTCTGTCAGCAACTTTAAACAAGAACATTTCTTTCAGCAACTTTAAACAAGAACATTTCTTTCAGCAACTTTAAACAAGAACATTTCTGTCAGCAACTTTAAACAAGAACATTTCTTTCAGCAACTTTAAACAAGAACATTTCTTTCAGCAACTTTAAACAAGAACATTTCTTTCAGCAACTTTAAACAAGAACATTTCTTTAAGCCATACTACCCCAATAGGGATGCAAAAATTATTTATAGATTTAAAATTTCTTCCTGTAAATAGTTTTCAAAAGAGGTTAGCATTTTCCAAAACCAAAAATCAATCTTAGAAATCATTAAATCACAATTCAGAGTGGAGGTGTAAGATAAACTAAGTGTTTTAATTGGTTGATTTATCATCAAAGTCATGTACTCATCTGTTTTTCTACTTGGGTAAGGTTTTAAATTAATTGTCCTTTTTTCTTCTAGTCTACTGCAAACGATGTCTATTTTAAAATACTTAATTCATCTTTCATGGGAAGCTAAAATAGTCTGATCAGTAGAGCCAGCAGTGGCTGCTAAAGATGGCACCAAATGTTTCCACAAGTATACACACTCACACAATCAAATGTGCACCCCCCCCCCCCCCCCCCGCACACACACACGTACATATGAGAAAATGGTTGTGTATTTGGAGACCTTTAGTACCCAGTGAGTGTTGGTTACTGGAAATCTGTAAATGTGTAGAGGACAATAATATGGGAAGTGTAGAGTGAATAGTGTAGCTAGCATGGGTAGTGTAGAGTGAATAGTGTAGCTAGCATGGTTAGTGTAGAGTGAATAGTGTGGCTATCATGGGTAGTGTAGAGTGAATAGTGTAGCTAGGATGTAGAGTGGATAGTGTAGCTAGGATGTAGAGTGAATAGTGTAGCTAGCATGGGTAGTGTAGAGTGAATAGTGTAGCTAGCATGGGAAGTGTAGAGTGAATAGTGTATCTAGCATGGGTAGTGTAGAGTGAATAGTGTAGCTAGCATGGGTAGTGTAGAGTGAATAGTGTAGCTAGCATGGGTAGTGTAGAGTGAATAGTGTAGCTAGCATGGGTAGTGTAGAGTGAATAGTGTAGCTAGCATGGGTAGTGTAGAGTGAATAGTGTAGCTAGCATGGGTAGTGTAGAGTGAATAGTGTAGCTACCATGGGAAGTGTAGAGTGAATAGTGTAGCTAGGATGTAGAGTGAATAGTGTAGCTAGCATGGGTAGTGTAGAGTGAATAGTGTAGCTAGCATGGGTAGTGTAGAGTGAATAGTGTAGCTAGCATGGGTAGTGTAGAGTGAATAGTGTAGCTACCATGGGAAGTGTAGAGTGAATAGTGTAGCTAGGATGTAGAGTGAATAGTGTAGCTAGCATGGGTAGTGTAGAGTGAATAGTGTAGCTAGCATGGGTAGTGTAGAGTAAATAGTGTAGCTAGGATGTAGAGTGAATAGTGTAGCTAGGATGTAGAGTGAATAGTGTAGCTAGCATGGGTAGTGTAGAGTAAATAGTGTAGCTAGCATGGGTAGTGTAGAGTGAATAGTGTAGCTAGCATGGGTAGTGTAGAGTGAATAGTGTAGCTAGGATGTAGAGTGAATAGTGTAGCTAGCATGGGTAGTGTAGAGTGAATAGTGTAGCTAGCATGGGTAGTGTAGAGTAAATAGTGTAGCTAGGATGTAGAGTGAATAGTGTAGCTAGGATGTAGAGTGAATAGTGTAGCTAGCATGGGTAGTGTAGAGTGAATAGTGTAGCTAGCATGGGAAGTGTAGAGTGAATAGTGTAGCTACCATGGGTAGTGAATAGTGTAGCTAGCATGGGTAGTGTAGAGTGAATAGTGTAGCTAGGATGTAGAGTGAATAGTGTAGCTAGCATGGGAAGTGTAGAGTGAATAGTGTAGCTAGGATGTAGAGTGAATAGTGTAGCTAGCATGGGTAGTGTAGAGTGAATAGTGTAGCTAGCATGGGAAGTGTAGAGTGAATAGTGTAGCTAGCATGGGAAGTGTAGAGTGAATAGTGTAGCTAGCATGGGTAGTGAATAGTGTAGCTAGCATGGGTAGTGTAGAGTGAATAGTGTAGCTAGGATGTAGAGTGAATAGTGTAGCTAGCATGGGAAGTGTAGAGTGAATAGTGTAGCTAGCATGGGTAGTGAATAGTGTAGCTAGCATGGGTAGTGTAGAGTGAATAGTGTAGCTAGGATGTAGAGTGAATAGTGTAGCTAGCATGGGAAGTGTAGAGTGAATAGTGTAGCTAGGATGTAGAGTGAATAGTGTAGCTAGCATGGGTAGTGTTGAGTGAATAGTGTAGCTAGGATGTAGAGTGAATAGTGTAGCTAGCATGGGTAGTGTAGAGTGAATAGTGTAGCTACCATGGGTAGTGTAGAGTGAATAGTGTAGCTAGCATGGGTAGTGTAGAGTGAATAGTGTAGCTAGCATGGGTAGTGTAGAGTGAATAGTGTAGCTAGCATGGGAAGTGTAGAGTGAATAGTGTAGCTAGGATGTAGAGTGAATAGTGTAGCTAGGATGTAGAGTGAATAGTGTAGCTAGCATGGGTAGTGTAGAGTGAATAGTGTAGCTAGCATGGGAAGTGTAGAGTGAATAGTGTAGCTAGGATGTAGAGTGAATAGTGTAGCTAGCATGGGTAGTGTAGAGTGAATAGTGTAGCTAGGATGTAGAGTGAATAGTGTAGCTAGCATGGGTAGTGTAGAGTGAATAGTGTAGCTAGCATGGGAAGTGTAGAGTGAATAGTGTAGCTAGGATGTAGAGTGAATAGTGTAGCTAGCATGGGTAGTGTAGAGTGAATAGTGTAGCTAGGATGTAGAGTGAATAGTGTAGCTAGCATGGGAAGTGTAGAGTGAATAGTGTAGCTAGGATGTAGAGTGAATAGTGTAGCTAGCATGGGTAGTGTAGAGTGAATAGTGTAGCTAGCATGGGAAGTGTAGAGTGAATAGTGTAGCTAGGATGTAGAGTGAATAGTGTAGCTAGCATGGGTAGTGTAGAGTGAATAGTGTAGCTAGGATGTAGAGTGAATAGTGTAGCTAGCATGGGAAGTGTAGAGTGAATAGTGTAGCTAGCATGGGTAGTGTAGAGTGAATAGTGTAGCTAGCATGGGAAGTGTAGAGTAAATAGTGTAGCTAGCATGGGTAGTGTAGAGTGAATAGTGTAGCTAGCATGGGAAGTGTAGAGTGAATAGTGTAGCTAGGATGTAGAGTGAATAGTGTAGCTAGCATGGGTAGTGTAGAGTGAATAGTGTAGCTAGCATGGGTAGTGTAGAGTAAATAGTGTAGCTAGGATGTAGAGTGAATAGTGTAGCTAGGATGTAGAGTGAATAGTGTAGCTAGCATGGGTAGTGTAGAGTGAATAGTGTAGCTAGCATGGGTAGTGTAGAGTAAATAGTGTAGCTACCATGGGTAGTGAATAGTGTAGCTAGCATGGGTAGTGTAGAGTGAATAGTGTAGCTAGCATGGGTAGTGTAGAGTAAATAGTGTAGCTAGCATGGGTAGTGTAGAGTGAATAGTGTAGCTACCATGGGTAGTGTAGAGTGAATAGTGTAGCTAGCATGGGTAGTGTAGAGTAAATAGTGTAGCTAGCATGGGTAGTGTAGAGTAAATAGTGTAGCTAGCATGGGAAGTGTAGAGTGAATAGTGTAGCTAGGATGTAGAGTGAATAGTGTAGCTAGCATGGGTAGTGTAGAGTGAATAGTGTAGCTAGGATGTAGAGTGAATAGTGTAGCTAGCATGGGAAGTGTAGAGTGAATAGTGTAGCTAGGATGTAGAGTGAATAGTGTAGCTAGCATGGGAAGTGTAGAGTGAATAGTGTAGCTAGCATGGGAAGTGTAGAGTGAATAGTGTAGCTAGGATGTAGAGTGAATAGTGTAGCTAGCATGGGTAGTGTAGAGTGAATAGTGTAGCTAGCATGGGTAGTGTAGAGTAAATAGTGTAGCTAGGATGTAGAGTGAATAGTGTAGCTAGGATGTAGAGTGAATAGTGTAGCTAGCATGGGTAGTGTAGAGTGAATAGTGTAGCTAGCATGGGTAGTGTAGAGTAAATAGTGTAGCTACCATGGGTAGTGAATAGTGTAGCTAGCATGGGTAGTGTAGAGTGAATAGTGTAGCTAGCATGGGTAGTGTAGAGTGAATAGTGTAGCTAGCATGGGTAGTGTAGAGTAAATAGTGTAGCTAGGATGTAAAGTGAAAAGTGTAGCTAGCATGGGTAGTGTTGAGTGAATAGTGTAGCTAGGATGTAGAGTGAATAGTGTAGCTAGCATGGGTAGTGTAGAGTGAATAGTGTAGCTAGCATGGGTAGTGTAGAGTGAATAGTGTAGCTAGCATGGGTAGTGTAGAGTGAATAG